TAAATTTTAACATAATTATTATTTTTACTGTAGTAGTTTTCAAATCTTAAAATATCACACATAAAATCCGCTTTAAAAAATTATTAATACTCCAAAGTCACTTGTTCGTTTTATTTTCTTTCTTTGTGAACAAAAAAAATTAAATTAAATTAATGATTTGCTGAGCGATAATTATATTGAATCGCTTGGTAAGGAATTGGGGGTAAGAAGTTTTAAAATATGTGCTCGGCGCAGCTAAATGTACATTTGATTAAATTTATAACTCGCTGGCAGAAAATAATAAATCATAAGATTTAAGAAGAAAAAAAACCGTATTGTAGAGTAATTGTAATAATAATAAAACGTATTCTCTCGTTTTGACCTATATTTGTTTTTAAAGAAATGTATTATTTCTTTTTTTCACTGATGTCAAAAAAGTAATTTATTAAAAATAATTGAATATGTATATTATACGAGTTACTCTCGATGGGTTAGCCATTAAAACACATTTGTTAATTCACACACACGCACGTACACAAACACAGACCTGATTGTTCACTGTTGTGTATATAATAAGTAACTTATACCATGTATTATAATACGTGTAACAATAAAAACCAAACTCATCGACGAAACGTTTTTTATTCATCACCCCATCGTTCACATGCGCGCAGATATAAACTTGTACATACAGGGCAAGTTACTTAAGCCTAGCAACTTACAGGAGCGCGCACGCACGCACACACCTACACATTCAAGTAATTTGAAAAATCGAAAAACGATTTTAATAACTAATAATGTACTTCGGTTAAAATGGCGAACGACTCGTTCGCGACACGGAGACGGGGAACGGTTTCAGCGGTGCATACAATATATATTCTGTACACGTGTATTGGTAAGGGCCGGTCTGTGAACGTTGTGTATTGTTCGCCCGCCAACAATCGCCACGACTTGCTTATTGGTCTTCTGTCCCTGTCCACACACGCATGCAAATGTACAATACGTATGTGCATTTTTTCGCTATAAGCCCGAGAGCAAACGTTCTGCCGCGTACACGTGTTTCTGTATGTGTAAAACGGAAATACTCGAAAACAAACGGGTTTGGGGAGAGTGGCTGAACTCGAGACGATTTCCATTAAGGGTGCCATACACGGTCAGCCATGAATGTCAGTTTTGTGATTGTCATTCATGACTGACCGTCTAGGTCGATGAATGTCAATCTTTTTTCGTAACTGATGAATTTCAAACACGTTTGATTTTTTTGTCGTCAATCAAAGTGATTGGCAATCATGACTGACTCTGTGTGGTAATGATTGATACGTGTTGCCATTCAAAACATAATATTTTATAATATATTTTTGATATAAGGTTTAACTTTTTCTAATAACTCCATAAATGTTGAATGGTCCATTCTAAGGAAATTTGCATAACTTCATTTGATGTTAATAATAGTTCATCCAATAGGTTATGATGTGTGTATTTTGTCCTTTTTAAAACCCATTCTTTTGACCATGTTTTTTTAATTTTATTTCGTTACTCTCCTTCATCTGAATTATCTGTAGCTAAAGTTACAATAATTGCAATACAAGCTTCTTCCATTTATATATGATTTGGAAGATGTAGATATTAAATAGGGTATAATCATATACTATCATATAATAGATATAAACTATAAACCTCCAATTAAACAAATAACATTAATTATGGTCTCATTTGTTCGAATGAAAAATTATCAAATGATTGTCATTCATGATTGACCATGTATGTCAACAATGACATTCATAGTGAGCGACAATCAAAAAAACTGACATTCATGACTGACCGTGTATGCCCCCTTTTAGGGCAATTTCAGCGCTGAATCTCGTAGGCCAAAAAACTCACGCCGTACACGCGTATTTATATTTTTATTCGTTTATACGTTCATTACGTTCATTTGCATGCACACCGTCGACCACAGGGGTGCGACAAGCAAATGCGATGAAGTCTTATGCGCACCGCATGCGGTACGAGGACGTCCTTGACACTACCGGTACTCGTGTGTACGTAGTGTGACCGCGCCGAGCAGGTGAGCACTGCGCGTTTTCTTGCGGAGACAATATCGATGACGTAGCGCACAAATGTGATAAGTGACATTTTCGTAATCGTTCAGGTGAACGATTTTTAAGTTTGAGCTGTTTTAACAATTCAAAAATGTAACGAACTGTAAAGCACTTTTTGTTATATTTCCCTTAACATTTAATGAGTAATGAGGATTAAAAAACCTCCAATTACCACATTTGTAATCTTAAAAATAATTTAAAAAAATAATATTTTACTTAACACATTTTGTACGCGTAAAAGTAATACTAGAACACATCACATTTTTCTTCTGATTTCAATAAAGAACTCCAATTACTTGAATAATGTTATAATTTCGTCTGTGAATAATGTGCTGAATTATATGATTAAATTTAATATGCACTCAACTAATTTTTAAAAAAAAATGTCACTTATCACATTTGTGCGCTACGCCATCGATATATTGCAGAGACGGTCAAACTTTTTTCAGCCATGATCTACTAAAAATATACTTCACCATTGAAATTTTTTTTATAAACCAGAATAAAAGATAAAAACTATACAGATAGAACTTATCGACAATTTGTTCATAACCACCACGATTAATTTTAGTGCACGTGGCCTAAAAATAAATTCTAATTCTTATGTGTAAAATAATTATGCTTGCGGGTATCATGCACCCATTTATAATTGTTCGTGGTACTAAATAAACAATAAAAATGTATTATTATTTATTTTATTATTATTGTTGTTCTTCATTTGCTTGGAAATCTGTTATTCTGCCTTTGATGAACGCGCCAACAATTGAACGTACAAAGAATAATCGGAGATTCAATAAAGTTTACTTTAACGGTGTAATAAAATATACAATTAAATATCAGAGTATCAATTTTTCAACCGTTTAAATTTTTAATAACACGTTTAAATTATTCCTTTTCATCTCATCTCGGTCTGATAAACTATGTTTATTAGTCGTTAATAAAATAATTATTAATTCCAAAAATCAATTTTAAACACAATTATTTTAATAATTACACGAAAAATATACAAATATTTCCAGATAAAATGTAATACTCACAATAAATAAATATCATAAACAAAATTTATGATATTCGTATGCACAGAATAAAATACGAGTAAAATAATGATGTTCAATGTTGTGAATTCATTACTGGATTGATTAAAATTTGTTCAATTGTTTCTTTAACGGAGTGTAAAAAAATAAGCGCATTTTATGGCCATAAATCCCTTGCAGATTATTTTTTTCATTCACATATCTAAAAAAAAAAAAAAAAATTATAATATATTATGTACAGCAAAACGTGTTAAATATTTACCGAGACAGTTTTAATACTAAAAATCGTATTCAGTTTTCGTGTATTATTAGAAGAGGAGGTATTTGATTTTTAAAGCGTTAAATAAATATATAAATGAAACTCTGTGCGCACTCGTACGCTCAAGTAATTAATCAAACACCAACGAATAAATAATGTTCGTAAGGACAAATTATTACATTTATATACGTGCACGGACGAAAACAAACACGTGCACGTCAATTAAAATTGTCGATGGAATAACATGTTTTTTCATTTCGAGATAATTCTATCAAAAGGAATCTTGAAGATATTCATTATTCGCCACTTAAAACAACTATTATATTAAACATTTTTATGCTTCTCTTTTGTTCCGCCTTTTGCCATCCACACTTATTATTATTTGTTTCACGTCGCGTTCTTTTATTCGTTTGTACTTCTCTCAAATGAGTTCACAATAGTATTATTTTCAACGTAATGAACACTGCAGTAGAATATTTCCTTTAAGTGTAATTACAAATTTACGTCCGACGTTTATACGAATTTTATCCGCATCGGACGTTGTTTTAAGCAGCTATAAAATACGTTTTTATTTCTATTCGAACGGATGATACAGCGTCAGCAGGCGTACTTAGCATTACACAGTTCTGGGAACGATTTTATTTCAACGACAGACCCTTCCAAAACCACACGAAATAGACAACACTGCTGTCAAATTATTTACAAAATACAGTTTGTTTTAAATATAATGAAACAAAAACATTGTAGTTTGCATGGTGTTTGATATATACATGTATATGTAGATATATATTTATTTATATAATACTCTAAACAGTCAGTCAAGTTAAGGGATGTATGTCTCAATTTGGGGGAAAAGTATAGAGGAAATTTAGAATCGTGCCAGCTTCGAGTTCGAGTATATCTTTGAACAATCTATTTTGTTCTTAACAAACGAGTGGTTTACGCGATCGTCAGTATGTCGTTATCAAATAATAATAATATATATATATATAATATAAGGTGAACGACAGGACATGATACCTCGGGGCTGGTGATCTCTCCGACGATCCAATAAGACCGACACGGTCCGCTGTTCCGATCCATGTCGAACCTTCTCTTTGGCTCGTGAGCAGCTCCCAGAGCTGACATTCGGTACGTCATTCTAAGTGAGCGTTTGCGCGAGCCAAAAACCCAGGGAGACCTCCCTCTATGTCGTCATCGAATGGTTCTTACGTAATGTGTACGATTAAAAACTACATTGCATAAGCTGCTTAATATTTCTAATGTGCATAACGCCATAACGCTGCCGAAGGATCAAAGTGTACGGCTTCCGTTTCGACGCTGTCGTAAGACTTTAACCTCACTAAGGATGCTTGCATCAATCTTGAGGAGATCGCAGTACCTACATAAATGTGATATAAATTAAAAAAAAATTAAGCCGTGCCGACTAACGTTGTGTGATTATTACGAATAGCGTTTTAGTGTCAATCGATTTCGACCACATCCTAGCCCCGGTCGTGGTTCGTATGCCCGCGCGGAAAATCGGTTTTTTACAGGCGTAGACGTGTAGTAGATCTCTGCGCGTGTGCTCCGCAGTCGATTTTTAGAGAGGAAAATATTTAACGCTCCGCATTCGTTTGTTGTTCGCAGAGTATGCCGGAACCGTTAAGAGCGACTACCCGACGGCGTCCGACGCGCAAGTTCCGCCGTCAGCCGCCGCGATGCCGTCCACGCGGGAACAGCCGCCGCTACCGCCACCGCCGACCACAGCGACGCCTGTGCTGACGGTGCTGCAATACCAACGGCCACGGACGTACACCAGCACGGGTGTGGCGCTGTCGCTGCCGCCCAAGAAGAAGGACATCTACCGGCCTTACTCGCTGGACGACCACAGGCCGGTCAAGTGGCCGAGGCCCGAGGAGGACATAAACGCCGCGCAGGCCATACTCGACCTGAGCGCGTCCACGCCCGTCGTCATCTGCCCTCCGCCGCCACCGCCGGCCCTGCCATTGCAGCAGCATCAACACCACCACCAGCCGCAACAACAGCAACCACAACAACCACAACCTGTTCTGGCGCCGCCACCGCCACCGCCACCGCCACCACCGCCGCCG